TTTATTTATTTATTTATTTATTTATTTATTTATTTATTTATTTATTTTAGCAAGGGGAGGGGGAGGAGCAGAAGGGGAAGGAGAGGGACAAGCAGACTCTGTGCTGAGCATGGAACCCCACGTCAGGCTCCACTCAGGGCTCCTCCCAGGGCTCAATCCCAGGACCCTGAAATCATGACCTGAGCTGAAATCAAGAGTCAGATGCTTAACCAGCTGTACCATCCAGGCGCCCCTCTTTTCCCCTTTTAAAAAGATACATTTAATTTTTAACATCTCAGCAACATATTTTACTTTCCCCTAAGGTGGATTTCTTAAGGTTCTTTAGAACCATAATTTCTGTAGAACCTAAAATTTCATGGAGTTTGAAACTACTAAGTCTGTCTTTCTTTGACCCATACATTTTGATGTCTTTCTCCTTGTTTTCTTTAGTTTTGTTTCTCCAGAAGACTACATATTTCCTCATTCAAAACAAACAAATCTATATGTACATACACAGGCAATGTTACATGCATCTCTGCGTTTGTAAATTACATTAAATTGTCTTTTCTTACTGTTTTTGTCAGCGACAGGCGTTCTGCCTTCTCTCGAATTGTTACTTTCCTTGACTTCTTCTCAAAAGCTTCCTCCTGGTGAAGAGTGGATGTAGACTGTTTGGATACAGCGGACTGTTTGGATACAGCGGACTGTTTGGATACTGAGGACTGTTTGGATACAGCGGACTGTTTGGATAAAGCAGACTGTTTGGATATAGCTGACTGTTTGGATACAGCGGACTGTTTGGATGCCGTGATTCCTTCTTCACTAGCAAGAAGATTCCTCTGGGCTATATAAGCAGCAGCTTCTTTAATTCTTTCTTCTTCTGTATCTGTAATTCCACTGACATGCACTTGGCTAAAATACAATAAGAGCAAAACATGGTTACTGTGGATGGCAGTGATAGGATTGCCTAATTTTTACTAAGTTCAAAGTATCAGAACTTAGACATTGTGTATCATGCCCAAAGAAAACCTGACAAAGAAAAACCTGGTAAATCAGGAGATAATTCTTCACATACAGAAGTGATCATCACCTTAACCCATAATGGTAACAACAACAATAATACCTACTTTGGCCATGGTGTTGACAAGTGCTTCTTTACATACACTATCTCATTTTAAGCCTGCAATAACCCTAGGTAAACTCTATCATTTCTATTTTAGACATATGGTAACAAGGCTCAGAGAAATTAGGTAACTTGCTTAAGGTCATTTCATTGGTTTCTTTAGGGTATTTAAATAGGATTGAGTCTATAATAAAAGATTAAGTTATGACCTTCCCTCCAGAAAAGATGACATTATAAAATGAGATATATTGTTCCTGTGCCTGTGATTCCGATATGGGACTATGTGCTTGATCTGGATTCTATAACTCACCTGATATAATGCATTGCCCAGAGCTGTTGCACAATTTACATGAGATCCTTATGCCTACTGGGTTTCTCTAAAGGTTATTTGTGTGTGTGTAAACATATTTAATGACATTCTTTATTTATGCTTGCACATAGCCCTGATAAGAAAAAAATGACCAAAATTTAAGGCATGATGTTTATAAAAGTGACTTGTTTTTATTCATAATTAATGATGATGGCAAGTGAGTGGTAACATCCAAAAGTGCTATGCCTAATGTAGTAGTTTATGATAGAAACTGTGCTATAATTTATTAATGTTGTTAAAAACATGTAGATTATTTTTAACCTCCTTCAATACCTTTGTGGTCAAGCCCAACAGTGAGGAAGTATAATGATTATATTGAAGATTTTCTTGAAATTGAGTCTACTTAGACCTCTGAAGGCTGAATTTTACCTTTGATTTTCTTATAAGAATAATGATTTCCAAATTTAAGCAAATACTGCCATTATGTTTATAAGTTTCTGGTAACGGAATCTGTGTAGTTTGCTGAAAAAGAGGGCTCAACATTTGCCCAAGTTTGAAATTTCTTATGGAATTTTACTAAAACATCTGGTAGACAAGATTAGTCTACTTTGTTTCTTACTAAACTCAGTGAGTAAAGTTTAATTTCTTTTTCCTTATCTCTATCTCTCCAAATATTAATAAGGTAGTCTTTACTAAGTAAGTGAGTAATATATCTGCTATAATTTAGAGAAAAGGGAAGATAGAAGATTTTCAGTTTAGTGTCTTGAAATAATTATCCCTAATTTCTTTTTAATGAGATAGGAAGTGAATGAATTAATAAGTGAATACAAGACAAACCATCATGAGGGCACCTGGGTGGCTCAGATGGTTAAGCGTCTGCCTTTAGCTCAGGTCATGATCCCAGGGTCCTGGGATCGAGTCCCGCATCGGGCTCCCTGCTCCTTGGGAGCCTGCTTCTCCCTCTGCTTCTCTCTCTCTCTCTCTCTACCCATCTCTCATGAATAAATAAATAAAATCTTTAAAAAAAAAAGACAAACCATCATGAGAATCTGCCTGGAATTCCATATAGAGGTAAATATATAATAGAGAGATTTGAAATGATCTTTGTAAAATGATTTGATAGATATAATAATAGATTTTATTCAATGCTAGTCTTGCCCTGAGTTGAGACAATTCTTAAATAAGAGAACTTTAAGTTTAAGCTCACATCACCTCTAATGTGACATAGTTCTAGAGGTCAGAATGAAGTCCTGGTCTCCTTACTTTTCCATGGCAAATAAGCTGAACCTCAGGAAGACTGTAATTATTTCACATGAGATCTCAAATACACTTAAAAAATATTTTGACCCAGGACAGGAGGAATATTTTTCTTTAAGTAAATATAAGTGTATGTCAGTGATAACCCTTTTATAATCTGGGTACAAAAGCAAAAATATGCTAACATGCTGACAAAACCATACAGCTACAAATTTAAGATGAATTTCACGCCTCTCCAATACTCTAAACCTGCTGGTGACACAAAGTTAACTCAATTTATCTGAGTACAAGAAGTGAAATTTTCAAGTGCCATCCAGAAGAAACGGTATTTCCCAGAAATACACTATAATCACAGAGTGCACTGTATGTTGCATTGGCCAATCTCGGCAGACTCAGCTCTTCCATTGCCAGCCATGTAACTTTCAGCAAGTCACTGAGTCTTAATTTCCTTGTCCATAAATTGGTATACTAATACATCTCTAGAGCTGTATAGAGAACTTAGCAAAATAGTTTATATAAAGCATCTAGTAAGATTCTCAGAAAACAATCGGTACTCAACAAAGGTTCATTTTCCCCCCATCTTCTTCTTAGATTGTTAATACTGTCAACATCATTATGAAGTGTTATTTTCAACATAAGAGTAGAATATAGGAGATGGATCCATATTTTAAAAAGGAAAAAAGGAGAACTAGAAATAAAACCAACTGAAAGCAAGAAGCCTCATTTCATGTGGTAAAGAGATGGAGAGGTATGCCATGTAGGTTAATGCTAAGTTAATGTACTTTTTAAATATTTTTTTTAAAAAAAAACAGAGTGGGCTGGGAACAAAGCAGAAAATAAAATATTTTACTCCTCTAGCCTAGCCATCCCCTATAAAGAATGTCAGTGTATATTAAACTAACTGTGGCGAGGCTAAGTCTGGTAAGCCTACTTAGCAAAATATGCGTATTTCAATGGAAAGTTCACTTAAAAAAAAATCAGAGATATCAAAGAGAAAGCTAAAAATAGCATATTATTTACCCCCTCACCTTCCTACTGGAATCAGAGCAATTATGACATTAGCTTCTGAAACAATTCCAGAAGAAACTATCAGAGAAGAATGGGAAGAAAAACACAGGGAAACAGAAGTAGGTCACCAACGATGACAACCACGTCATTGCCTCCTGAATTTCCTGATGGCATCTGCCCTGAGAGGAAGCCCTCATTTTGAGTATCACCTCAGCTCTGTGGATAGTTCTCCATTCAAGGGACAATAAACAGGGAAGGCTCTGAAGGTTCCCATTAAATCTTAATTTGGTGTCTCAAACAGGTTTCAAGATTCCTCTAGATATTATAATCATTCCAAAAAAGTTTATATTTTTTAAAAAAGATCATACACACATATTTACCTTATAAACACAGAAATTTGGCATTAATGGACTTGTAATTTTGTGATTATTTTGTTTGAAATTTGCCTCAAGATAAATAGTAATCTTTTTCACATTAAACAAATATAGGCAAATAGGCAGACATTAAAATTATGATGCCATTCTTTTACTTAGTCTATGTTATCTAAGATTTTTTTTCTTCCTAATGAATAATAATTGAAACCACACTGGCAACCACAATGGCTTCCCTCTGCCTAAATATAACATCTGATTTTTTTTTTTGTTCATCCAATGTTTTATGGTTTTGAACCTTTCTCTCTCTAGTGACTATATATAGTGTCCAATCACTAGCATCCAATGCTCTCCTTCTTAATTTCAGTCAGTTACATAATTAGAACCAAGTTCCTGATCACTCTCTTTTGTCATGTAGCCATCCCAGGTGATGGCAGATTTTCACAATGAACATGTCTCCCTCCGTGCAGAGTTCCAAGGTTCCTCAGACCTTTCTCAATCATCATGTAGTTAAGTGTTCAATAAATGTCAGAGGCAATTATTATTATTACCTGACAACATTTACCTTCACTTTCTAATATTTAAGGCCAGGAAGAGAATGCATACATACCGTCCTGAGAAAATGGGCACTATATAGTCACTTGGCAGATTTTCCTTCTCCTCCCCAGAGAGAAGGCTCTTCTTCGCTCTCTTTGCTTGGGGGCTCAACTTCGATGAATAATCTTCTAACATCAGACTGGAATCTGTAAGTCTGAAACAAAACCCCTAACATTAGGTAATAACCAATAATTGCATTGAAAATATTCAAAAATGCTTATACAGGGAAGTTTTAATTTGGGGGAGGTTTCACATAATCTTAGATTTCTGATGTTATAATATCTTTTATCTTTAGAACTAAAGAGGAGTGAGAAAGATCTCATACAATGCACTCTATATAGACACAAGAAAAAAATGGGTCTATGGTAATTTCATAGCTTTGTCCACCCCCACCCCGAAAGTTTCAAGGGAAAACAGCAGTGTTTTTGTAATAGTTCCAAATACTCTTTGCTGTTAAGTTAATGTTCAAAATTTGGGAAGTCTATAAAAATTGTTTTATCCAAATCTTTTCAGGGGATTGATAAAATATAAACTGTTCTGGATAGGAAGCCCTTCTCCACCAAACCATTTTGATGCAGGACCCCTAGGTTCAGCTCTGAGGCCTCTATGCAGTGTAGACAGACTCCTCTCTTAGAAGAAACACTGAGTTCATCAAACAAGAGTTAATATATTTTGTGTGAACACATAGTGTTAAGTAATTCAGAAAGTTACAGGGGTGTGATAAAGAACCCTTTGGTCAGTTCTGTTGTACACAAAAATCCACCCATGCACATTTGTGCAAATGTGTATTTGGAGGTAGACAGTGTTCTAATTAAACAAAAAAATGTATTGGCATGGCAGAAAACATGAAAGCCGAGACTGCACTACAGAAAAGGATTGATAAAATCAAAAGTACAATCCGTCTTAATCTTTGTAGTTCTTGAATGAAATGAAATGCATTTTCATTCAAATATATACAGGTGGGCATAAATTTCAGGAGCTCATGGACTCTCTCAAATTAATCCATGGATTCATGTTAAAAGCCCCTGGTCTACATTGTAATGAAAGACATTCACAATAGGGAACTCTACCAGAACTCTGTACTATCCTTGTAATTTGAAATGATTCTAAAATAAAACAGTATTAAAAAGTTCCCTTGTCTGGAGAAAATTTGGGAAGAAAGTGAAGCATGTGTGTGATATGGCATGGGAAGAGCAAGCCGCCCAGCTGAAACAGAAAAACCTTCGAAACCACCCAAACCTGACCATTTCTCAATCTTTAAGAAGCATTAGGAAAAGCAAAGAGATGACCTAAATCAAAAGCAGAAGACAGGCCAAACGCATACATAGTGCAAAAGGAACACATAATAATGCAGGTAAATCTATCCTCTGCTAAACAAGTAGCACAGAACTGTAGGGCTTCTAGAAAGTACAGGGGGGTGCAGTGGTTCTGGGCCTGGGGGTATAGGGTGGACTACTGCCTTTGATCCCCAAAACACAGTGGCCAACTTCTTCCTCTCCCACTAACTATCTCCTTCCCTAGGGTGAATATCTAGGTCCTAGTGTATGATCAGCATTAAAATTAAAGGTTAGAACCTTCAATTCAAGCTTGAGGATTGGTTACCAACTGGAAGGCTGAGTGAAATTTATTCCTGACTGCCTGTTCCAGGCAGCAGCAAAATGACTGCGTTCTATCTCCCCAGCAGATTACAGAGTACAGGCTGTGCTAATACAGGTCTAAGTTTAAAGTGGTATTTTCCTTCCCCTCTTTAATTCATTACCATGCAAAATAAAATTAATTTTGGAGTTTAAGAGTTTCTTTTTTTCCTATTTATAGAACATTTTCATTTTTTTTCATTTTGCTCTCACTTCTGTTGTTGGTCTTTTTTTCTTTACTTTCATTCTAGTATCTATAGTCATTCTCATGAGCTCGTATTTTCAACATTTATTTACATTGAAACAGCTCTTTTTGTTGTGTTAATCCTTTTTTGTCATTTTCCCTTTAAGATGAATCTTTGAAATGATGCACTTATTACATAGAATGTGCCAGGAGGTGATTATTCCATATGTAGGGGGCATGCCACCTACATATGTTAATTTACATGTTCTATGCAAATACTGCCATATAAATAGTCACACTTTATGAAACATTCAGTCAATAGAAACATTTTAAAGACCAAATTTGAGGGGTGCCTGGTTGGCTCAGTTGGTTAAGCATCTGCCTTTGGCTCAGGTCATGATCTCAGGGTCCTGGGATCGAGCCCTGTGTTGGGCTCCCTGCTCAGTGGGGAGTCTGTGTCTCCCTCTCCTCCCTGCTCCTGCCCTCTCTCTCGCTATCTCTGTCTCTGTCTCTCAAATAAATAATCTTTTAAAAAAAAAAAAAGACCAAATTTGATTAAAAAAAAATAGTAGTGCTAATATTTCTTCCTATCTTTCTTTCCATGGTTTGCCTTTGTGGTCACCCCACTTTGGAGATCATAATATCGTATCACACTGCCTGTAATGACTCCCATGGTGACTTGTTATTCCTGAATTTATTCACAGGTTATGAAATCATCACAGTTCAGTTGAAAATATAGCATTAAAAAACTCATTAAATTTTACAAGAAATAAAATGCTAGTTCCTTAAAGTTATGTTTGTAGTCAACATACAATTTGGGGGAAATTGTCCTAGTTCCCCAGGATGAGTAACTTTATTCATACTTACATTAAGTAGGGATCTGCTTATTGGCTATATTACTTTCCGAAAGTGTGATAACCTATTGGCATGTTTCAGAAAAATGATGGGCTGTGGGCATTGTTTTTTGCTGACACTGCTCCCAAACCCTGCATCACCAATCCCTATATGCTTGGGTTCTAGTGCATTATCGCTTTCTCTTTCTCACTGCCTATGACCACTCATAGAGATGGATAGTTTTAGTTATCTTTGTATCTGCATTGTGTCCAGTGCCCGAAGGTGTTCAATAAATGTTTATTGAATGAAGTGAAATCATTCATCCTCCTGTCATCATACCCTAGCCCAGTGATTCTCAACCTTGGCTTCACACCAGAATCTGCTGAGGAGTTATTAAAAATGACCAGTGTAGAGGTGGGACTTCTAGTATGATGGAGTGAGTATTTCAGCAGTTACTCTCCTCAAAAAGCAATGATAAAACTGGATACAGGTGTCAAAACCAACCCATTCAGGGCTCTGAAAATCAACCAAAGGCATACACTACACTGTGAAGTAGTTATTCATAAAAAAGGACTGAACTTTAGGTATGAACAGTGGAAGTCTACATGACATTCTGCCTAGCTTTCTCCCCTCTCCCAGCTCAGTTTATAAGGTATTTCTAACAAAATCGAAAAAAGCATGACAATCAGAATGTTCACTGCCAGAGGAGGCTGACCTGATTTGGAGCAGAACATGTTAAAACTTCACATCCAGCAGCATTGTGAGAAACACTAGCAATCTAAGTGGTAAACAAACAAGGGAAGACCAGCAACTCAGTTAGCCTCAGGTTCCAATCATGGTTGGAAAAAGCAGCAGACTGGTAGATCAGCCAGCCATTTAATAGGAAGATCTGGGAAATAAGACCACCATGGGAAGCCTTCAAAAGTTTTCCATGTGCCTGCATAGAAAAAACTGGATAGGACTCAAGTTATCCACACATCACTGGCTGACTAATCCTGTGTTCATGTGTAGAGGACAGACAAGAGAGTCTAGAGGTAAGCAAAGCCAGAATGTATATATTTAAAAGTTACCTGAACTTTAAATGTCCTCCCTAACATACATACAGATCTACTGCCAGAGAGTGAAAGCTTTTGTTTTAATACAATATGTCACCATTCATTGACTGGTCATTAATCTATGCAAACACAATGTGATTCCTATGAATTCAGGTTTAAAAATGAGAACAATAATTTAAAAAACAAACTGAGTAGAGACATCAGCAGTCACACAGTTTACACACAGTTTACACACACACAGTAAACAGATTCTATAAGTGCATTTACACAAGTTATTAAAACCAAAACACAATGACAACACATTTAAGGGAAAATTCAGAATCCAGAATTGCTACAATATACTATCTAACATGTCCAATTTTTAACAACAACAAAAATTATGGAACATGCCAAGAAATAGGAAAATATAATCCATACCAACAGAAAAAAATCAGTAAATAAAAACTGTCTCTGGGTGGACACTGATGTTGGATTTAACAAAGACTTCAAAGCAGCAATTATAAATATGTTCAAAGACTAATAAAGGAAACCATGTTTAAAGAACTAAAGGAAAGTATTATGACAGTGACTCAAAAGGAGAGAGAATGTCGACAAAGACGTAGAAATAACAAAATGGGGGGGGCACCTGGGTGGCTCAGTCGGCTAAGTGTCTAATTCTTGATTGCAGCTCAGGTCATGATCTCAGGGTTGTGAGATTGAGCCCCATGTTGGGCTCTGCACTCAGGGGGAGTCTGCCTGAGATTCTTCCCCTCTGTCCTTCCCCCACTCATGCTCTCTCTCTCTCTCTTATTCTCTCAAATAAATAAATAAAAACTCAAATTTATTTATTTGATAGAGTAAGAGAGAGAGCACAAGCAGGGGGAGTTGGCAGAGGGAGAGGGAGAAGCTCCCTGCTTGGCAGGGAGCCTGACACGGGGCTCGATCCCAAGACCTCATGATCATGACCTGAGCCAAAAGCAGACGCTTTACTGACTGAGCCACCCAGGTACCCCTAAATAAATAAATGTTAAAAAAAAATTCTAAAATAGGATCAAATGAACATTGTGGAGTTTAAAAGTATAATAACTTTAATGAAAAATTTATTAAAGGGACTCAACAAGAGATTTTAGATAGAAGAATAAAGAATCAGTGAACTTGAAGATAAAAATTATCCAATCTAAAAAACAGAAAGATGGGATGCCTGGATGTCTCAGTCAGTTAGGCGTCTGCCTTCAGCTCAGGTCATGTTCCCAGGGTCCTAGGATCGAGTCCCACATCAGGCTCCTTGCTTAGTGGGGAGCCTGCTTCTCCCTCTGCCTGCCGCACCCCCTGCTTGTGCTCTATCTCTCTGATAAATAAATAAATAAAATCTTTAAAAATAAAAATAAAAAACAGAAAGATAAAAGAATGAAGAAAACTTTTAAAACCTTCAGAGATCTGTGGGACAATATTAAACATACCAATATAT